AAGAATTGTCAACTTCACGCGCGGAAATTAAAAGCTAATGATATCGAGAAGAGATCTAGAAAAAAACATTTGTCAGGTAGCCCCTGAGCCGACCCTTTTGCCGCATGGCAGTGTTTTTCAACTGTCTGGGAATCATAAACTAAAACTTGTGTTTGAGGAAATTCAATTATGAAAAAAAAACATTATTAATAATAGGGCTTAATTCTCATTTATTGATCTCTAGAAAAGAATCAAAATGGACTAAAAGAAAGGAAATGTTCACTGGAGTACTATATACAACGTTCTCAAGCAAACAATGAGGTGAAAATATGTTTTCATATCAATTTAGACAGCCTTGTAAATTTTTGAATAATGACCTACCTATATATAGGTGAGTTACGTCAGTAATGCTGACATTTTGTGTAATATTTGCATAATTCTGACTTGTCCCGTTATTTTGCTGTTTTATACAATTTTATCCATCAAGAACTCAACAGTAATTACAAACTGATATAATACAGTTAGGAAAATATTTCACAAAATGTGTGCATAACTCTAGGCGTCTCTTTCTAGTGAAATGATCTTTAAGGAATAAATGCAGACGAAGTTACAGTTATTCTAGGTACTAATTAATCAATTCGCCACAAGTAATAAGAGTTTTCACCCCACGTTTTGAGTCAACTGTAAAATTTCCTACAGCTAGGCTACATGAAGCACATGCTATTATAAATCGGTTCAATGACGTTGATAAATCCGAAAATAGTTGAAAATCAGCATTATGACTTTGAACTCAGGGGGATATATTTACAAACTGCATGGCTTATTCTCAGAATCAGTGTTGCTGTGATTGGATATTAGACCTACATTTTCTTCCAACTTTACTTGCACTGGTACGGTAACAACCAATAAAGCTATATAGCACGCTATGAATCGCAACATGCACCCGATATTTCGGAGAATACCCAAAGAATGTGGGTGAATGACTTCGTGTAGATTCATTTCTATCGAATAGGCATGAAAATGTAATATGAATAAATGGTTTTCACTTGGTACTGGTGTTGATTTGGCGCACAGGTTTACTGTGAGGCCACCATAACGGCTTCTGTGGATTTTCTATTTTCTTCTTTTTCTTATTCACCACCACCGCGTGGATGACTTCCTGAAGTTTGTCATTTTTCAGTCTTTTCTTGGGCGGAGCAGGTGGCTGCACCGGCTGGATGACTGGCGGTGGGGGCGGGGCGCGTGGTGTCGTCTGCTGAGACGATGGCGGACTGTCCTCAATCACGTGGATCTCATTGCGTATAACCTAAACGACAAGAAGAATTTTTGGTGCTAGGCCCTTGAAATGTATTATTTAATAACACATCAAGTTCCATTAGTTCATTAGAAATAAATAAAACAATGATACTTTATTCTGTAAGAATATAACAGTTTTACTGACTGGATGATATAACAATTTAACAACATATACCAAAAATCCATTTGATAAATGTTCAAAGTTATTGGCAACAAAGCGTTATATAGGGGAGGGTGTGTGGAAGGACAGAAAGGAAAAGATTATATGAGTAGGCAGATATCTAAGTAGTTATCCTATAGCGATGCCAAGAAAACTTGCTCAATAACATCATTTACAGCAACAAAACCAAGACTTCAAATATTGATGTTAGTGATTGCCTCACTGACGGTCGTTTATCACCTGCGGAAATCAGTAATCAACACATGCAATGTTACATTCTGTGTCAGCCAGTAGTCAAAAAAAAAATTAATAAATAAATTTCTAAACAGCAATGCATCAGAATAGAACAGCATTATTGACGACAGAGGAGGGATTTCTAATGAAGGTGGCGGTTAGCAATTCTACAGGTCCTAGAACACGATGGTTGTAAGTAGAGTTTTACAGGTGTTTATCAAGGCATATGCTTGTACCTTCGGTCTGGCATATGTTGACTTAATTGGCTTTTCATACAGGTGCCCGTTCATATGTTCTGCAGGCGAGTAAGATGTATTCTTATGGTTGAGGCCTGGACGGTCATTGTTGCTTTCCCTGATACTATCATTCGACGGATTCCTAGGTTTCAAGTTTCGAGGGGTTGCCTGGGGGAGTGGGCTACCCTGCATACTGTCGATTAACTGACTAGCAACTTGGGTAGGACTGATAGTTGCGTCACTTCGAGGGGACACAGGACTGCCGACGGTTGAGGGCGTGTCCCCTTCCACGTCACTTGGCCAATTTCTTAAATGTGGGCGTCTCCTGTAGTATTTGTCATCTGGATATTTGCCTCTAAAGTCGTTTGGATAGCTTGGAGAACCGTCCACTGGGTCATAGTCGTCAGCACTGCGTTTTGATGTCCTACTCGGCTGGGAGTCTGCGTCGTCGTTTTGGCGTGGCCTTGGTCGTTTCCGTCTCGAAGAGTCGCTGTCTTCAGCCTCTGAACGTGGAGAACTGAGAGGGTGTGGGGACGAATGGGACCTAGGGTCTAAGCCAGGCTGAGGAGGTTTGGATGAATAATAATGTATTACCTGCTGCACGGGCGATGGGCTGGCGGGAGGCGGAGGAGAGGGAGACGGGGATGGACTGCGACGCCTGGGCTTTGGATCTTCTTTAGGCGCCGACCGCCGCGTTTTATGGTGATAGTAGACGTTTTCAACAACTTCCGGGGGTGTCTGTTTGTTGGTTGACTTAAGAGGCCTCGCTCTGTCTTTAAGATCGTTTTCGTGGAAATGAACTTCTTTCCTGAAGTAGAGGCATATAGGCTTATAGGCTTAATGGCATTATGGTAGAAACACACACACACACACACACACACACACACACACAAGAAGTGCAGTTTTCACGACAGACGCTGCACAAGCAAATGAAATGCTTTGCTGAGTATCGATTTGCAGTTACATAAGTATTCGAAGGGCAATATATCTTTTGTGATTACAAAACTAAGACAGCGTTTACTATATGTATTTAAGGGGTGTTTTATTGCCACGTGTTTCCCCTTTATATTCATTTACTTTAACACATTAAACAAGAAGGAAATTGAGTAAACAGTTGAAATGGCGGTTTTAAAAACTGCATTGGTGATTTTAACAGTAGCAAGTAAAGGGATAATGAAGGGGATAACTGTGAAATTCAATACTACGCATTTGTTTTTCTAGAAATGATTACATCCACACACACAAACAGATACACGCACGCACGCCCGCACGCACCCTGCATACACACACACACACACACACCTGTTACCCGATTGTATTTTGGGGCTTACCTGACATTAGGACCATAGGACTTATTTTGTCTCTTTGGTTCCTGATCATCATCTAGATGGATGATCTCTACGTGATCATATGCATGTTCAACATCATACTCCGGCTCGTTATTCTGGCGTGTAATTTTCTTCTTCACGACCCTCTTCTGTGCCACGGGACTTTCTTTGGAATAACGGACGTACTCTGTCTCATTGGCAACGTGTGTGCGACTTAAAGCGAAAACAAAAAATGAAAGCAATCAGAGTTCTAGAGGAAAAAGGCGACGAAAAGCTAAATTAAGATAAAACATCATTGGAATTATGGACGTATGACTAAAATTAAATGTAAAAAACTGCATGGTTTAAAAATCACTAAATCACACTGTTAAAAATATCACGGAAAAAGATCGGTAAGGATGTAGGAGGAGTTGAACGTAAAACTTCAAGAGAATAGACAATATTTAGGAGTCGAAGTCAATGTAAAATTCTCTGATACAAAAGGGATGCGTCATACCGAGGGCAGCATCCCTGGCATCCCGCTGTCCCCCCACCTCCTCCCATACAACCTTGAACGCCACAGCAGCCACCGCCACAGCAGCAGGCCCAGATGAGCCAGGCCAGGAGGCCCAGTAAGAGGAGGCCAAAAATGACCCCGAGAAGAATCCCTAACCAGGTCGGGAAGCCGCCTCCAGTGTCTCCAGTGAAAGTAGACCCCGTGTTCTTGCCATTGCCCCAGTCTGTAATGTTAAAATATTTTATTTTGTAAATTGCAGTGGTAACAAGGAAAATGATTTCATTCACTTGCATTTTTTTCAGCGGCAAGATGCTTTAATTCTATAAAAAAATTAAATTTCAGTTAAACGTATACGTTAATTAAGTGTTGTTTAAAGAACAAACATGCAAACTTCTGTTAAATAATAAATCTAGAAGACAGAAATTGCCACATAGTTGACAGAAAACAATTATGAATTAACAATTGATTATCCACAAATCCGTACAACTTCAAATTTAATTTAATTTGGCTCTGTTGTTAGTGCATAACAGATGGATCCAAAGCCAGAGAATCTTATACTGTAGATATGGGTATATTAAAGCGGATAAGCACCTGCATAAGTGCAACGCACTGATAAGGCCGTGTTCACACGTTTACTAAGATAGACTGGCAATACAATATATCTCTCTGACAACATGGTGCGTTCGTAGATACTTTAATATTATATGCTTGATATCAGAGGGTAAGACACTATACATATATTTATATAAATATAGCAATATGTTTGCCTGCGCCTGTTTCAGTGAACACATTCAAAGATAAGCCACTCTTTTCCAGCGCTTGGAGGAGCCACCCCAATTAAATTATACCTAGGCCCAATTTTGAATTCAGCCTTTAATTTATTCAACATGAAACTGATTATGAAAAGAATTATCTCGACTCTAATCATTAAGCATGAAGCATGGGTTAGTATTCCAGAAAACCTAGACCTTGCATTCACAATGAGCTGGTGATCTTACGAGTACGTTTGAAACAAAAGGGGGCGTGTTAATCTGATTGCATTTAGCGAGAGTCCCGGCATAAGTGGATTGATCAAGGTAGAACGATAGTTTCATTGGGGATGAGCCCCTAGAGAGATATACACCCCATTTCCATAGATTTTTAGATCGATCTATCCCTGTTGGGAGTCTCACTAGATTACTGTCAGCTTGGCCGGTTTAAACGTCTGTCCCGCCTACTAAAAGCTGTAAGGGGGTAATTAACTATGGTGCCCGCTCGGCTGACTGCAATTTAGCGTGAACCCCCAGGGAGTTGGGTCGATCTAAAACTTAATCTTTAGATCGATCTAAATCTCTGGGAAAGCACCCATAGATGCAGATTTTTCTAGCGCTCGGAGACGTGGCAGCGATGTGAAAGCTACGTATAGACAAGATCAATACTCACCAATATAATTTCCAGAAATGCATTGATGATTAGGTGGTGTTTAAGACCCCATTCTCATAGACACCACCGCTCTGCGTGGGTCGACCCAACTCTGCGGGGATTCTCGTTAAGTGCAATCAGCATAACTGAATGACAGCATTCAGTCATCGAGTGTTCCCGCGGAGTTGGTGTATATGAGAATGGGGCACAAGAATACGGCAGTTATTTTGCTCTACATTACACAAGCGGCAGTCTAAGGGAATCGAAGTACTTGTATGATCAGCAGAAAAGGTGAAAAGTGCCAAATATAGTGTCATATAGTTAGTAATGTTTTAGTTATAAATGCTTTAAGTGGGTTACATGTAAGAAGTGAGTGTTTGTCGAAACACATCTAGATCGCCATATGAGATAAATAATAGGCTTGTTGCAAGCTTAACATATGATTCCGCTGTTATTAAATACGTCAAATGATTTTGCAGCCCAGATGCTTTGAGTCCCGCTCTTCTAATCGAGGATAGTTTTCATGCGCATGCCAAATTGATTTCTGTTTCGAGGACTTACAAAGTGAAATATTGATGAACACCATTTGGTTATTTTTGACAGAAGGTGGAGCTGGGGCCGGTGGCGACTTTGGCAAGACATGGCATTGCGGCGGGGCACCAATCCAATATCCTGAACTTCCGCAAACCTGTGACGTTGTCCTAGCATTCATCACAAATCCCGGCAAACATCGGTATATCACCAGATCCGCAGGATGATACGGGCCGTTAGAGATAATTTCGCCGTTTGGGATTCCAAGCGGCTGCGGACAGAGCGGTGGTATTGATGTCAATAGACTAAACAAGGAGTTTGAAAGGGGCCTGTGTTGGTTGTGACCTGTAAATGTGTTAGGTGTGACTATCGATTGTGTTGGTTGTTCCTGCTGATTTTGTGGAAAATAAGGGGTAGTAGGGTGCGGGACGAAAGCAGCGGGAGTGTAAGCGAAAGTTGTAGCTAAATTTCGGCTTGTAGAGCTATCCATTGTAACCAAAGCCGGAGTGACGCCTGAGGAGGTGGCATTGCTATTGAAAGGCTGTGTAGTGTTAAAATACCCACTAGGCCAGTTAATATGCTGGTTGGTTTCTATCCTAGGAGACCGGTCAATGGGTTTACAAGTCGGGGGCGAGCCCTGCCACTGGAGGCCACTGCCACAGGTCAGGGTGGGCGACCCGTCCATCTGGAAGTCACTCCCACAGGCATACGACGCCTGCGACCCCACGGGGTAAGGGCCTGCTGATGAGAGGTGGGCGTTGGCTACACCAGGAGGGTTGGGGCACGTGGGGTTACACGAAGGAGAACTGCCCTCCCATGTGAATCTGTTCCCACAGGTCCGTGTTGCCTGTCCCGTCATCAAAAACCCAGCACTGCATTCATATTCTACTGTATCGCCCGATGTGTATGGGCCCGTGGATTTGACTACGGCGTTGGCGATTACTGGCGGGGTCGGGCAAGTCCGGAGACACTGGGGTGGCGAGCCTGTCCACTGCAGGTTACCATCACAAAGCATATCGTTGGAAAGGCCAGTCATCTTAAAGCCGGTATGGCACTGATATTCAATGCGTCTGTGGGCGATGAAGGGCCCGGTGGTGAGCAGGTCAGCGTCCTGGACAATGGGCGGCTGAGGGCAGGATGGGATAGGCGTGGTGGTCACCGCTGTCGTTGTGGTTGTGGACGGTAGAGATGATGGGATAGGCGTGGTGGTCGTTGCTGTCGTTGTGGTTGTGGACGGTAGTGATGTTGTAGAAGTTGCTGAGATTGTAGAATAAAAGACAAAATAACTGGATTTATGACTGCATCGACAACGAAATATGCAGGGCAAGTATCATGGTCATAGTTGTAATAGGCATAACATATATTTGTATAACGTATATTTGAATCTCCTGATGACGATTCATAGGTCACTTTTTCTTTAAGTCACAATATATGAATAATTTATTTTTCACATACGAAAAAAATAAGAATAACTCCTTTTTTTACCCTGAAATCAGCGTGGAGTGTAATACTCACGTGAAGGGCTGGAGTTGTTCTGAGCCGTACATGTAGATAACATCAGCATCACTGTGGACAGCAAAACTATCCACGGTCCCTCTATCATGCAATATTTACAATACATCTTTTTGGTCCTTTCAGGCACTACCAGAGGGTGAATAAAATGCTGTCTAAATTAAAAATTATGTTTATCATGAAAATACAATCATATTAACAATATACTATAGACAAGGTCCACTATCGTATCGCTTATAAATTGGCCCTAGTGCCTAAGTACTTTTAATGAAAAAATGTTTGAGGGCATTAATCTTTTCTTGGCATGGGGTTTGAAATCATTACCGATTACTGTCAGAAATGGGGTGATTTTGATATATGCTAGCAATTTTTAAATTAAAATTTTGTCCTTTTTAGATAGTTCATATTGTAGGGAACTTGTGTATGAAATGCCATTAAAAGAAATAGACATCCCTATTAAGTGTTGACAGATTGCTGCACGTGGCACCCAGTACATGGACGTGCAGCACGTGTTTGTTGGCTGTGGTTTGAGTCCATTTATTTTGCTGTAGTTTTTTAAACCCATACACCTCGCGTCTACACGAATTATTGAAGCTAAAAACATTTCCAACACGTGTTTGTGAGAAATCTGTATTACTTTCTACTGAGTCACTGCTAACCTCGCACATTGTTAATACATCCTAAATTATCTTAACACCATTTCAAAATAATAACAATAATAGTAATAATAAATGTTTTCAGTTCTGTTTATAATCAACAAAGATTAATGGAAGGGTTTACATCAACCTGATTTAATATAACAAAGTTAACCATAAATATAATTGGTGTGATCTATCAAAGCTGAAACCATTATGTTTACGTTAAGACGAGAGCGAATGTAAGTAAGGAAAGCTTTCTGTATAGGTGTTTTCTGTACACGCGTATGTTATGATTTTAAGCTGTATGGAATGGACTTGTTAAAAACAGAGGACTTAACACAATGATTCTAAAAAACCGTAATGCTTTCCATAATGTCACCATTGGTTGATGTACGAAGTATAAGCACTGGGCGACATTCGCACAGTAAAAAGAATCATGTCCCAGACCTGTTCAAATCCATTCCCACTCTTCGACCAATGGCATTCTCAAATATAGTATCTAACATTGTGGAATTTTCTATAATGGAAAATTATTTACATTTTGCGGACGGACACAATAGTATGAACAATAAATAAATAAATAAATAAATAAATAAATAAATAAAAATAACTACTGAGAAGTTCTTTATTCAATATCTTTTGGACAGATACCCTTTTGACATCTAGAACCAATAATTTTTTTAATATCCTTACTCAAAACAGAGACTGGTATTTTGTCCCTGTTGTTGTTGGCTCACGAGAATCAGTAAATTAATCTCTATACCTGTATCTCTTAAATATGATTGAAACAGATTATCCGCCTCCACATGAATTAAGCCCTGGACTCATTGTTGCTAGACTCCTCAATGGATCTTCTAATTTTTACAATATCTCTTTGTCAAAAAGGGGATATTTGCAAATCTTCATGGCAAAGTTGCAGGCATCACAAGGGCTTGAAAAAATAGCATCATGCAACTGTAAACGAGTCCCAGTTCATCATTTGATTACGGTCAACGATGCAAAAATACGTCCGTCACATGAAAAAAGCAACAATATTCACTTACCTACATTTTCTTTTGTTTTACCAGGAAGCATCTTACTGGTGTAACATCTTTTTCTTCAAAATGTCTACTCCGTCATAAAGTGCGGCACTCGTAAACGAACCAAAGCTCAGAAGGGAACTACGGTAATCTTTTCCTTATCAGACATATCTGGAGGGAAACGTAAATACTAAGTAAGAACGTGAAATGAACTAATTGCGCACAAATGCTCTTTGGTCGTTGTTTTCTATGGGTCATAGGCGTTAGTTTTAATTGGAATTGTTTCCGTGCACCGCTATTTGAGAACGCATTGCCGGCGGCTCCCTGGAAACAACGACAAGTGCATGGTGTTGCCACAACAAGCAACGCAGTAAATTATATACTAGTACCCGTTCCTTTCTTTGAAAGTGAACTTTACGCTTTTCGTTTTATTTGAGAAAAGTGGAATATGTTTAAAGCAATTAAGTGAACATTTAAAAACCGTGTGCGGGTTCCCGAGTCCTATTTTCTAATGTGTCACTCAGCGGAACTCACGTTTTCAGGACCTATTAGACCTACAATCAGAAAAAGATAAAGCATGTACCCAGTTCTTGATGATACTAAAGCTTGTCCTTTTCATGTCCACTCCGTCAAAAATTATCATAGTGCGTACAGTGTTTAAATGAAGCTTCAGATGATTCGTTTCACAAAAACAAGTCGACTTAGTGTGTAGCATTATATTTCATCAAGGATTGCTTCATATAAACTCTGAACACATTTTATTTATAATGAGTTATTGATTCATTGACATCTGACAGTCTTTCATTTATATTTTGCTCATCATCGATGTGTTAAATGTCCTCGGTTGAGTTATTGGTATTAACGTGTACACTTGTATTTATTCCACATTATTTACACATGTATTATGCTATCACTGCTGCACTGCACGGTGAGGAAGGAGACGGGTTGTCACAGCGCCAGCAGGAGGTCCACAGGCTTTAATCCCAAGCCGAGCTGTTAATTCAACAGTCAAATCAAAACGCCCACCGAGTCAATTAGTTGCTGTCGATATCATATTTAATATCTCCGCGTCAACAGTAGAATGTCCCAGATCATAATGTATCACACTGTAAAGTCACAGTTGTCATGAAATACTATTTACTTAATGACCTAGGGAGGACGACGCTGGCGTGATCGGTTACTGTTCGTTTAGCTTCGGACAGTGGGAAAAATTTTCAACTTCAAATAATTGGAAAAAATTGATTTATTTCAATGACATGACATGACTTAAACGTATCATAGTTCAAACATTGTTAACTGCATGTGTCATATGGAAACAATCGAAATTCAAGATCGCGCCCCCAGTCTGTCTCAAAACGGCCAGGAAGACAACGGATATTTTCTTTTCTTTTCCTTTGAATGCATAAAAAGTTAAAATTGGGCATTTAGAAAATCAAAATCCAATTTAAGTATGTTGTATTTTGCACTAAAATGTCTCCTTCTGTACTTTAAAGTTACAGTATTAGTTTGTTTCATTTTTCATTGATAAATGCACTAAAACACAGAATGCATAGGCATACATGTAGATCAATAACCGAAATCCAGCCAATGTTGAATTAATAAACACAATTATATTTTGCTGTTTTTTTTTAAGGGAAAAACTCCAATTCACAGTTTTCCTAGACATTTATACATTTAGATATTTGCAATTCTTTCAGTTAGCAAGATTAGACAAGAACAATGACTGTATGACTCTGGTGATTGTAGTGCGCTGTTACAGTGGGCTATTATCACAACTAATGCAATGTTCACCGTACTGTGCATTGCGTCCAGGGCATCCAAGGGAAATAAAAAACATTGTTTCCGCCTAGCTTCTCTCTTTGCAAACAGGGGCGTAACCAGACCTTTAAAAATTGTACGCACAGAAAATTCCCAGCACGTACAGCAAAATGTAGACAAACGAAACAGATGAAGGGCAGCGTAATCACAGCATATGTACCACACATCGTAGATTAATTTCCAATAATAATAAAATCATCATTTAAGTCAAATATATTTTCGCGATTTAATAAAGTTTCAATATTTTTATTTACCCAGAACGGTTTATTCATTTAAAAGGAGGCTAACTTCACACCAGCGGACCCCTCCCCTCCCCCTTCGAATAATCCTGGTTCCGCCTCTGAGTTGAACTTAGGCTCTATTCCCATAGATTTTAGATCCATCTATCCCCACGGGGAGTCTCACTAGATTACTTTCAGATAATCCCACTTAAATGTCCGTGCCGCCTACTACAAGCTGTAAGGGGGTAATTAACTTTCGTGTCCGCCCGGCTGACAGCTATTTAGCGTGAACCCCCAGGGAGTTAGGTTGATCTTAAGTAGGTCGATCTAATCTATGGAAATGGGGTGTTATATACAGTTTCATCCAGCTTCCATGCGGGTGCATTGCTCCCAAAAACAACCAACTTTATGACACGACAGAGCTTTGATACATCTAAATTTAATTATTTGTTTGTGAAAATTACCCATGTCACCCTGATAGTTTGGAGGGCTAAACTGGATGCTTTGAAGCTTTGCAATAAAAATTCTTCCTTTGATTTTATCTTGTGCCCCCAGGTCTACGTGAGCTGCTCTTTGAAAATAACGCACAGGTAGATTTTACCTGAGATAAATATCGCCAGCGAGAGTGCGTTCGATACTCTCAAGACTACAGGAGAGTTGAAGGCCACTTAACCCTCCAATAAAATGGTAAAGGATGTTCTGGTTAGATGGACGGTTAAGATAGGACTTGTAATGGTAACAGGCCTCAGTTCAATAAAAGTATGCAAGACGGGGGGTCAGAACAATTGTGCGTATACAATTGATACAGAGAATTTGTACATAAGTGACTTTAATTGGCAGAGGGTTTTCGATTATATTCCGTGAAAAATACACTAAATTTATATAAAATAATATCATGGTTGGCCAAAAAAATGTACGCACAGTCCATCCGTGCGTATGCCTAGTTACGCCCATGCCAAAGATTGTATTTTGAAAAGTGTCAACAATGTAAGCCCCAGATTGGAGTTTTTCTTCCCTTTAAATTACATTGCGGTGGTTGCAATCAAGCATCTGAGGTAAACCGTAAACGGGTTCTGTGAAGATAATTTTGAGTGGGAGTGGGAGCAAAATACATGTATAAAACAGTTCTTCGAGTCAGGACTTCGATTTNAACATTGTTTCCGCCTAGCTTCTCTCTTTGCAAACAGGGGCGTAACCAGACCTTTAAAAATTGTACGCACAGAAAATTCCCAGCACGTACAGCAAAATGTAGACAAACGAAACAGATGAAGGGCAGCGTAATCACAGCATATGTACCACACATCGTAGATTAATTTCCAATAATAATAAAATCATCATTTAAGTCAAATATATTTTCGCAATTTAATAAAGTTTCAATATTTTTATTTACCCAGAACGGTTTATTCATTTAAAAGGAGGCTAACTTCACATCAGCGGACCCCTCCCCTCCCCCTTCGAATAATCCTGGTTCCGCCTCTGAGTTGAACTTAGGCTCTATTCCCATAGATTTTAGATCGATCTATCCCCACGGGGAGTCTCACTAGATTACTTTCAGATAATCCCACTTAAATGTCCGTGCCGCCTACTACAAGCTGTAAGGGGGTAATTAACTTTCGTGTCCGCCCGGCTGACAGCTATTTAGCGTGAACCCCCAGGGAGTTAGGTCGATCTTAAGTAGGTCGATCTAATCTATGGAAATGGGGTGTTATATACAGTTTCATCCAGCTTCCATGCGGGTGCATTGCTCCCAAAAACAACCAACTTTATGACACGACAGAGCTTTGATATATCTAAGTTTAATTATTTGTTTGTGAAAATTACCCATGTCACCCTGATAGTTTGGAGGGCTAAACTGGATCAAGTCCGTGTGAAATGCTTTGAAGCTTTGCAATAAAAATTCTTCCTTTGATTTTATCTTGTGCCCCCAGGTCTACGTGAGCTGCTCTTTGAAAATAACGCACAGGTAGATTTTACCTGAGATAAATATCGCCAGCGAGAGTGCGTTCGATACTCTCAAGACTACAGGAGAGTTGAAGGCCACTTAACCCTCCAATAAAATGGTAAAGGATGTTCTAGTTAGATGGACGGTTAAGATAGGACTTGTAAAGGTAACAGGCATTGTTTACCTCAGTTCAATAAAAGTATGCAAGACGGGGGGTCAGAACAATTGTGCGTATACAATTGATACAGAGAATTTGTACATAAGTGACTTTAATTGGCAGAGGGTTTTCGATTATATTCCGTGAAAAATACACTAAATTTATATAAAATAATATCATGGTTGGCCAAAAAAATGTACGCACAGTCCATCCGTGCGTATGCCTAGTTACGCCCATGCCAAAGATTGTATTTTGAAAAGTGTCAACAATGTAAGCCCCAGATTGGAGTTTTTCTTCCCTTTAAATTACATTGCGGTGGTTGCAATCAAGCATCTGAGGTAAACCGTAAACGAGTTCTGTGAAGATAATTTTGAGTGGGAGTGGGAGCAAAATACATGTATAAAACAGTTCTTCGAGTCAGGACTTCGATTTAATTTTTTACGATATTTAGCAAAATATATATATACATAGTGTTTATCATGTAATATGATAATATCACCTAGAAAGAGAAGGGGTTGTAAAATAAGCAGAAAAAGCAAAAGTATAATACCCACATTGTGGAGAACTGGCAAACGTAATAGCCTATTTATGTATAAATTTGTCATATTTTCCAATAACACGACAGACTGTTTTTTTTTTTTTTTTAACTGTATGTGTGC